GCATAGAGTTGATCTAGATGAGAATATTCTGATCATTCTCATACCAAGAGACATAGGCAGGATTGAGGATGCAATTTCCTGAAGAATTGAGATTGAACTGAGGCGGTGCAGCCATGGATCCATCAATGAGACCAGTCAGATTATATCGGCGAAAAATTGGAGCAAAGAAAGCACTCCAGGTCAAGTAATTGGTGGTTGTGAGCTTGATTGGCACCATGGATCCAATGTTTTGGGTCATAATAAAGGAAGAAACAGAAAAATTAAGGTTTGAGGGTGTAGTCGGAAGAGGATGAACTGGAGAAATCGATTTCGACGAAGGAGATGCAGAGGTCGCCATTGACAAAGAGCGATGAAGGAGGATCGAAGAACACGAACGATGATCAAGAAATTAGAGATGAAGATCGTAGAAGGAAGCATGACGTTTGGGATCGAAGAAAGAAAAGTCGCGAGACAGGTAGGCGGGTGATACTATATTAGATAAAATATGTTTTCATTCATTAGAAAATAATCTTACACTTCGAGTATTTATATACAAGTATATTGTAACCTCTAGACAAACAGAAAGTAACTATCAAACAAAAATCTTAACCACTAAGTAATATCTCTAGATAGTGTAGTTACAATATTATCCTTTATATGGGATGCAACCATATCCCTAATCTGAAAGCAAAACAACAGTGTCCATCTCAAATTGGAGGATAAATTCATGCGCAGCCATATTATCCCATTATGGGTAACATCATCTTGAAATTGGGAAGTGTCAAGATAATTTGCTAGCATATTGGATTAAATTTTAAAAGGCCTACGTGAGATGGAAAAATATTGCGAAAATATGTAGTCCACGGGATTATATCACGCCCAATGGAGAAAATTTTGGACGTCCATGGGATAATTTGCAAGCCATTAGCACGCCTCCATTTTGGGATTGACACTTACCCTTGCAGCGAGTTAGACATTTTCCAATCAGACTCATCGGGCTGTCAAGTTTTGGCCAATTGAAAGATCGGTGATGCAATCTCGTGGGTTTATTCTGGAGATAATATTCCTAGGAAAAATTATTTTTGGCGAATTAGTTACTCACGGCATGGACTTTACAACGTGGTCATGAAGTGTGTTAGCATTATAAATACAGAAGCATTGGCTACAGAGGGAGGACGTTCATCCCAACACATAAATCAATGCTCCATGCGAATCCTCTCAGTATTGGAATCAAATTTGCGCATGGCCATAAATGATGGAGATGCCCGTACTCGTTAATTCCTTTCTAGATTAGGTTCCTGAATCTTGCGGAACAAGCACAGTCTATCTTAGTGATCGACAAACTTTGCCCATTGATTCCAGAACAGTGTGATGGTGGCATCACTGAACCGTTTAATCAGCTAGCCATTAAACTAACAATTTAAAAGTAATAACTAACAACAAGGCATTTTATTGAAGACATAGATAACATATATTTCCTAAAAAGGAAAACATTGGCTTTCTTGTATGCTCTGAAGTCTACGTAAGTTTTGGAAATATACAATATATAAAAAGAGAATCTAAAAAAAGTAGTAATTTTACTTGTACTCCATGTTACAAGAATAAAAGAGTAAGACTACAAGAGTAGTTCAACAACCAAAATTTATAAGAGTTAAGTAGGTCAATGAGAATTTCTACTCAATCAATTCCTTTTCTTCTTCAATCGAACGGAACGAAAGAGGAGACCTTTGCTCTATCTGCTTCTTCCTCTTCCCGAGTACAATCAGCTTCACCTGCCCTTGTGCCTCGTCAACTGGTTATCTTTTTTCCATTCACTTAGCTAGTTCCGTAGTAGGTTTTTTCATACGTTTTCCAGGATTAGAAGGAACCACTAGAATTAGTGCTTGGGGAGGAAAGCTGCTCTTGCTTTTGTTCTCTTTGCTCCTTATAAAAAGGGTTTATGTGAACAAGGAAGAAGGCACGTCTTTCCGGCTCCTTCATCTGCTGATTATGTAACTTGACTCCCCTAATCCTTTAGTTTTTTCACCTTTGTTTGATTTCCACTTCACATCCAATGTATTTTTATTTGTATCCAATAATACAATGTCGATTTTTTTTGTTCAAACAATAAAATAAGAAATAAAATAAAAAAGCAAAGCATGAGAAGGTTCCTTGGGCTTTCTTTGCCAATTAAGTAACAAAATCTAGAAAAGCAGGAGGCATGGCAAGGATCATGCACAATTAAGACCCAAAACCCCTCTTATATTCTTGCATGCAACCAAATTTGGTTTATATTATTCATTCTTTCTATTATTTAAATTTTCATTAGTTGAACAATTTTTTCCACATGTCGACACTCCATATATAATGGCCGACAATGGCAATAATCATGCATGTGTGCCTTTGGCTCATTTGAAAGTCATTTCGTGAAGACATTTTTTTATTTTTTTTTTTACGTGGAAAATCTACGGGGCGGACGATTTCTAATTGATATCAACGTCATGTCGTTTAGTGAATCCTGCCAACTATATATGCTTCCCTCCATCAGTCCTCTACTCCGACCTGCAATTCAAATCAACCATCCAACAAAGACTAATTAAGAGATGGCGACGTTGGTAGTGCCCAAGTCACCGATTTCAGTCATCTTCTTCATTCACAAAGCTACTATATGCAATGAGCTTGGTGTGCTTCACCAATTGGCAATGGGGTATGCCATGGGCTCACATGCAGATGTTGGGGCATTTTTGGAGCGTTGCAACTTTCTCAAATCGATTTATGAAAACTACTTAAATGTCAAAGACGAGGTATGTACAAATTTTAGCACTAAACGTGTATATATTGTATGTACGTTAGTAGCGGAACTTGGGTGGGAAGTGTCTCTGCAGTGAGGCATGCTGAGTGACAAGTACTATCAAGTTAAAACATTTCATTTGTCACAAACATTAATTAAGTAGAAAAATTAACCGAACAAAACTTGCCAATTTCATTTGTCACAAACATTATTAAATAGAAAAATTAACATTTCAAAACTTGCCAGTAAAGATGGAAAATTAACTCATTGGGTTGTTAATGGATATCCATTAAGATCCATTTGTTTGATTTTACCTTACACCATCATCATCACTACCAATCTCACATCTATATTATAGTGATATCAAATTAAAACAGATCTTAACTAGTACTCATTAACAATCCAATGGGTTGATTTGCCACCTCTAATTGCCAAGTTGCAGCCGTTAGTTCCCTACAAAAAGTTTGTTTTTCCCTTACATTTCAGAGTCGATGCAAATGTATTGATTGTAGTTTGGTTATAGGTAAAAAATTATTACTAATATTAGGATTGGGTCAATCAACATTATTTTGCTTTTAATGAGAGCATCGAGAGGTAAATGATGAAAAGTTTTTAAGTGGTATTGACTTTTTTCTGGATACAATGATATATTTACATTTGGGGTGGGAGATTTAGGTTAAGTCGGATGGGTCAACCGTAACGATTTGGTACCAAGCTCATCATTTAGGAGAGTCGAACTTAAGACCTCTCAGTTAAAGAAAGTTGAGATTTTACCATAAAATTCCAATTACAATATTAGAGTAACCCAAGTACTTATCTATACTTGCAAAATCTTTTCTTTTCATGATGTGAGATTCATACTTTCAAAACCCGGTACCAGTTGAGAGGAAAAATACTAAGCGGAAGGTAAGAAGCAAGTGATATTGACCTCAGTTTGGGAGGAATTTCTTTTTTTATTGACCTTAGTTGAAATTTCAATCAGGGGTTAGAAAATGAAATGTCTACCAATCTATGTCAAAATAAGAAATTATTTATTGATCCGAATTAAATTATTATAAATTTTGGAATTCTAGGCAATATTTGCAGCTGTTTATACACGGGAGAAAAATATGGCACCCACGTACTTACTTCAACACATTGGTGAAAGGACTGCTTTTGATTACCTGTTTAAGCTGCTAATTTCTAGCACACAAAATGGGGAAAGTTTCCCAACGGAGCTGGTGTTCTTTACAGCAGCCTTACAAATATTTGTTGCTCAGTGCATGGCCAAGGAAGAGGACCAGGTATTAGTTTTTTGTTTGCTTTTGTTTTAATTTATATTTTATTAGTTAATTTATTATAGATTGTAATTCCTGTGTTTAATAATGATTGTTGGAGGGGTTGTTGTGAGGCCGGTCACATAAATACACAATGATGACCCATGCACTTAAGAAATATGCAGATATAATTTTTTTTTTTAATTTAATATTATTAAGTGAAGGAGGGAAGATTATAAATTTTTATATACGAGAAGTCCTATATGCAAATGACTGAGAAGTCATATCATTTTTATATATAGTCAATGATATGCGTTTTCATTTTTTAATTTCAATATTTTATTTTCAAAGGAAGGTAGGTATATCACATTTTCCAATTAACAATTGCATGTCAATTAGCACGCGATATTTCAAGAAAATAAATTGTTATGTCTGACGATGATATGCATGTACTTTGTAATAAGTGGACTATATCTATTCGCTACAAACAGAATATGAATCAAACAATGCATCTGCTATACTAAACAATTACAAAAATGAATCGGATGACAACTTCCTTAGTACATATTAGATTTGAGCATCTTCGTGGAGAGTGATTGATCCAAAAGAACGAGTATAAACCAACATGTCTGTAAATGAAATATTATTTGACAAATCGGTTTTCTAATTAGATGACTAACCGATTTTCTATTTAATTGATTTTTTTGCGTAGATGATTTGTAAAGGAAACCTAATTAATGATAAGTTTATTTAGCCACACTATGAGGTTGACCGAAAGAGTGGTGTGGGATTAAGTTATACAGGAGTAGGAGAATCGTACTCCTATACAGAATCGGTGACACTGACAAATAGCTAGGGTTTTGGCTGTCCCAACTAAAGTCGATTACTACACGTCATTCCTTTGGACCTGTCCCTAAGAACATGCGTACACATCTGGGCAATGCACATATACGCATGCAGCATTGTGATTGATTGTGAATAAAGTATTTCTTTACAGGACAAGTTTCCCTCAAAAATACCTATTTGAAATTGAATTAACTATTTTACATTGGTTTTTACCTTAGTTGTTTAAAAGCATTTTACCTTTGCGTCTTGGTTCTCGAGTTCATGCTCTAACAATCTCCATAACAAGTACTTGCATGTAATTCTGCTGCTTTGGATGTTTTGATGTATTCATTTGATCTTCCATAATAATCCGAGAATCTATGCGCATCCATGAATATGAAAATATAGCTGTTCGAACCTTTTTCTGCAATAGAGTTTTGGTCCATAGTTTTTGAAAATCCTCTTATTACACTAATCATTTTCGACTGATTAATGTGTACTATACGTTTGCGTATATGTCTACGTATATATGCATAAATCTATGGCCTTTTTGCTCAATATCCTGGATTGAAATGAAAATTGTTTTTAACTTCTGTCGGTGTTTTTAATGCATCAGGTCTTCCCTTTGCTTACTCAGTTCTCACATGAAGAACAAGCATCTTTAGTCTGGAAGATTTTGTGCAGCATCCCCACTAATATACTTTCAAAGTTCCTCCCCTGGTTGTCGTCCTCTATTTCCCCTGATGAATATCACTATCTTCAAAAGTATTTGAGGAATATAGTTCGAGAGGATAATCTTGTTGAACAAGTTATTTTCGCCTGGATGGAAGGGAAAGATTATTGTGCAAGCATGATATCAAATCAGACAGACGAAACAGACTTTGCATCTGAGTTCTCTGGCGAACATCCAGTAGATACTGTAATTCTTTGGCACAATGCTATTAAACGAGAGTTGCATGAGATACTCGAGGAGGCCAAGAAGATTAGTATTTCTGGTGCTGTTACTTATGATCTATTAGCTTTCCATAAGAAGCTTCAATTTATTGCCGAAATTTGTATCTTCCACAGGTCCTCTTGAGAATTAACAAGTTTTAAATTATTTAATTAATCATCAAATATTTCTTAGTGCTGTTGCTCAATTGTTTTAATTTTCTGTTATTATTATTTTTTGTATCTCTTCTTTCGTTTGAAGTTTCTACTGCGTTTCTTCTGCAGTGTTGCAGAGACAAAAGTCATGTATCCCGCAGTATATGGAGAAACCTTATCTTTTCAGCAGCGCACAAACGAAGAAAGTTTATGCAAAGAGTTTATGTGTTTGATTGAAAGTATACAGAAGGCAGGAACAATCTCTTCTTCCATTACAGAATTTAAGTCAACGATAGCCTCACATGCTGATCGAATAATGGAAACTTTAAAGGGGCGTTTCGACAATGAGGAAGTTCAGGTGAGCTCCACTATTTTAATTATAAATTAGTTTCTTGTGAGATATATTTCGTAGCTTTTGGAAAGTTATGCAGCATTTTACTGTCTTGGAACCATCAGCTAAGCTCTCTGTCTGTCTAGGTCCTTCCACTTGTGCGAAAGCACTTAAGCGTCAAAAGACAACGGGAACTTTTGCATCAAAGCTTGTGTGTGATGCCCTTGAAATTAATTGAGCGTGCGTTGCCATGGATGGTAAACTCATTGACTGCAAATGAAGCCAACAACTTTGTTAAAAACATGCAGATGGCAGGTCTATTTCTGTCTTCTTTTATGGCTATGTGTTGACATAAATACTGTTCTCGTAATCTATATTTTGTTTATCTAATTTTAAGTTTTTTGAAAATTTATTGTTTGATACAGCTCCAGCATCAGATATTGCTCTGGTCGAGATCTTTTGTGGTTGGGCTAGCAAGCCTCTCAATGACAACTCCTGCTCAAGTGCAAGCGGGCGCTGTCCTGTCAAAAGGTTTGTTAGTAGTGATGAGAAAATTGGTCAATTATCACGTGCTTGGTGTGCTTCCACATTGTCAAGCAGAGATATCTACTCCTCTCCATATGAAGAGAGCAATGCTTCTCACCCTTTACAACCAATTGATGTTGTTTTTAAAGTTCATAAGGCCATACGCCGTGACTTGGAATATCTTGACAATGAATCGGAAAAGGTCAGCACTTGTGATGAGATATTTCTTCAGCAGTTCAGTGGATTTTTCTGTTTCTTATGGGACTTATCCAGAGCTCATAGTAATGCTGAGGACAATATATTGTATCCGGCACTGGAATCCCGAGATGCACTTCACAATGTGAGTCACTCACACACACTGGATCATGAGCAAGAACAACAGGCATTTGAAAATATTTCTGGTCTTCTTTTTGAGCTTTCACACCTTCACGGAAGTGCGATAGCTTTTTCTGGTACTTGCGGTGGTGAGTCAAGCGAATGCTTGAGAAAGTACCATGAATTAGCTATCAGGCTTCGTGCATCGCTCAAGTCACTAAGAATTATGGTAGACCAGCACATGAGAAGGGAAGAGATTGAACTGTGGCCACTATTTGGATTGCACTTCTCTGTGGAGGATCAAAATAAAATGGTTGGTTTCATACTGGGGACTACAGGTGCTGACGTGCTACAATCTATGTTACCCTGGGTAAGTTCAGCACTTACCGAGGATGAACGGAGTGAAATGATGAATACCTTTAATAAGGTGACCAAAAATACAATGTTCAATGAATGGTTAAATGAAAGCTCTAACGGAAATTCATTCTCAAGTTCACAGACTCGGAGGCTTGAAAGTCGCTTTTCTCCAAAAGGTTTGTGCTATCTTGAAAAGCTGCATAGATACAAATATCTTATATTGATCTTGTTCTACTTTTCATGTTTCTATATTCTTTTGTTAAGTTTGATTGTTATGTTTGAAGGAAGCATGCGGCAAATTGATCGTGCCTTCAACTCTCATAAGAAGCATAACTTGAAGAATCTAATGTCTAGGTTAGTCTGATGGCAAATATCTACTTTGAGATTTCTTCATGTTCGTGGTCATATTTCTTACATTACAAGCTATTCGGTTCTATCTCAGTTACTGGATGGCTGCACAGCAGAGTTTATCCCGAGCTTCAGCAGGAAATAATTGTGAGGGTGAAGATTTAGTGGGACGGTCACCAACATTTCAAGATTCCGAAAAAGGAGTATATGGGTGTAAGCACTACAAAAGAAACTGCAAACTCCATGCCACTTGCTGCAACAAGCTGTTTACATGTAGATTTTGCCACGATATTGGCAGCGACCACAAAATGGATTGGTAATTTCTCGATGGTGAAGCTTCTTCTCAAGTTGAGAAATTCTATATATATAGGTAGCTGATATTCTAGTCTTCTACTGCAGGAAACAAACATCGGAAATGATGTGTATGCGCTGCCTCAATATTCAGCCAGTCGAGCCAATATGCTCCACGCCTTCTTGCAACGGACTCTCAATGGCAAAATATTATTGTAATTCATGCAAACTTTTTGATGATGGCAGGTAACTAAGTTCTCATACAAAATCTGCAGTTGTGAGTTATCAACTTTTCGTATCAGTACACAAGAACTATTTTGGTGAATTACATATGTAACTGTTACTTTTCGTTGCTCAGGAATGTCTATCATTGTCCATTTTGCAATTTATGCCGTGTTGGGAAGGGCCTTGGCATCGACTATTTTCACTGCATGAAGTGCAATTGTTGCTTGAGCATAAGTATAGTGAACCACAAGTGCCGGGAGAAATGCCTCGAAGCTAACTGCCCCATCTGCAATGACTTCTTGTTCACATCAACCTCAAGCATCAGAGCTTTACCATGTGGCCATTTGATGCATGTAGTTTGCTTGGAGGTCTTTATTCATCTCACATGATTTTGATACATAATTATGCTACCTTCGTTTTGTTTTCGATAACCCTTATATGAAGAGTGATGAGAAGTCATTGCACTAAATCTCACTCCTTTATTCCGACCAGGCTTTCTCTCGTAGTCACTACAGTACATGTCCCGTCTGCTGCAAATCTTCCGGAAATATGATGGTAAGAGAAATTGAGAAATCATAGGCTTAAGTAAAATGTTCAGTGCCTGATTCATTTTCTTTCGTTCTTCCTGCTTTCTCTACTGTGTTTGTTATTAAAAATGTGGACTAACATATGTGCAGAGGGCATCAACTCAGTCTTCCATTCTGGTTGGTGGTGACGAATCCATGGAATTTTCCGATTGTCATGAAAGAACCCAAATGAAGACTTCATGGACTAACAAAAAACTCGAAGGAATATTTTCCAGCCACACAAGTTTTTTGGTAATGCTAAATTTCCCGAGTCTAATTATGCTTTCTTCCGAAGTACATAATCTAATACGAGCTAATTTCTTTCTTTTGCCCGCAGGTAAATATGTTATATCATTCTGTGCCATGGTTTGAACCCCATACTAGCAAGCATCCTCGGCTTCTGCACCGATTGAAGAAGGGGTTGGAGAATGCGGTTGCAGGACAAAATGGCAAGGAGAGGTTCCTGATGTGTTTTCTAGTTCTATGCATTCTGGTGCTCTTTTGCGGCTTAAGCAGTGTTGTAATTTTACTTTGGTTCAAGGCATTGGGGAGCAACGAGTAAAGTTACGTGTGACAGATCCTGCTTTCTGTTTCCATTAGGCAAATAGCAACGAGTAAAGTTACGTGTGACAGATCCTGCTTTCTGTTTCCATTAGGCAAATATTGCTCATGTGTTTGGGAGGCAAATTGCTGTAATATGTGTGTAAATTGCAGGGTTTGTAATAAGGCATGTTATTAGCATGTCATGCAAAATAAGTGTGTCCATTAAAAGACTTCCTTCTTCAACTTGCTAAATCATGATTTTGTTCCATGTAATTTGGGTCAATTTATTGTTTATTGAAGGACAATTGTTTAATTCCATCATTTTTTCTTTTGAAATAATGAGAGTGCTTTGTTACCGTGTATTATGTGTGAACGTGCACCAGTATGTGTGAGAATGTGGAGTGTTGTTCTGCATTGAGAGTTACGAAACTTCGTAACAGATTTTAAGGAGTTAGATCACTCTCTTACTACCAATTGGTTTTACGCTGAAACGTTCCTTCATGGTATCACAATCCTGATTTTAAATCTAACGACCATACGTGCTCTAACGTCATCGTCATTCAGAGTGGAAGATGATTTCACCAAGTGGATCCGTTTGTTGGGTGGATGATTTTATTAATACATGAATTTAAATCACATGAGAACTTTCTCTCCACTTTAAGTGAAAGTTCTCAAGTTCAATTCAACATGAACCAAGGTTTGGCAATCTATACGCCCTCAAAATTAGGGTAAACACACCTCAAGAACTTTTGACTTTCCGGCTTTCCTTCGCATACTGGTCAGTTTCTCTTGAATGCAGGCAAAACTGGAAATTTTCCAACAAAATTAGTGTTGGATTGTTAAATCCAGAGATCCAGAGAACCAGGACCATGTTGAAATATGCTTGTTGAATGAACGAGTCATTAAAGGAAACAGAAACCAGAACAAGATGGAAGCACAAATGGTGGCAGAATTCGTGTACATTCGGTCTCCCTCAACAAATAATTTACAAAACCACCATTCACCACTAAGCTTCACTGTGACTATCTAGCAATGGCAACCTACATGCTACTACCTGTACATACTGGGTAGAATGTGTTCGTAGAACGAATAACCATCTGTTGGTGCCCCAAATGGCCTTCTTGGTAGGGCTCTCGTTAATGTTTCACCCGAGGTTATCCAGGGCGTCGGGTCTGGAACAGAGGGATAGTTGGGATAGGGAGGATTGGTAAATCTCGACGAGGGAAGACCCGTATCAAAGTAAGGATCAAGATGTGGCAGCGGAGGAGAAACTCTTGATCCAGATTCTGCATAACGCCCACTCAGAAATCTGTTTTCAGCTGGAAATTTTGATCTAGTATCGGTGTAAGGGGTACTGGGAAATAGATCGGCAGCATTAGCAGGAAAATTTGATCTAGTCTCAACATAAGGATTGATGGCAAACCGATCACCAACACTAGTAGAAAAAGTTGGTCTGGGCTCAATGTATTGACTGGTGACGAATCGATCAGCAGCATTATTTGAAAAGGTCGGCCCGGGCTCAATGTGACTGGTGGTGAATCGATCAGCAGCATTAGTTGAAAGGGTAGGCCTGGGCTCGATGTATTGACTGGTGACGAATCGATCATCAGTGTTGGTAGAGAAGGTTGGTCTAGTTTCAACATAAGGGTTCGTGACAAAGAGATCAGGAGTTGCAGAAACCCTAATTTGAGGAAAATGCGTTGCAGACGGTAAGCTAGAAGAACCAAAGTAGCTATTGTGAGTCGCAGCTTCTTCAACTGCAAAATCAGTTGGTAGTCTGAAAAGCCCAGCAAACCCAACAGGAGTCTCTACTCTGTCTACAGTTTTTGCAGCGGGAATAGGTGATTCTATGGACTTCTGTGGAGATGTACCATTTACTAGCGGCAATCTAGTCATTGTCTGTTGTAGTGATAGCCTTGCTTGTTGAAGTGCATCCAGCACACCACCTAACTTATCCTGCGAGTCATGAGGGACCAATGCATATAGGTCGTTTCTGCTCCCTGAAGCATTTCCTTTATGAAAACCATTGCCTGCATCAGAAGAAGAGGCATCTGATGTATGTTTGTGGGCCAACTGATGCAGAAGTAGGTCAGGGTGGGAGCCATGTGAAGTGTGCCGAGCATAATTTTTGGGGCTCTTTTGATTTTGCTTTCCATTTGCAGTAGGGAATGCAAATTCTTGAACCTGTGAGGAAGCAGCAGAGCTTCTATTCAGCTTATCCTGCAACCCTCCCGTATCTATATGTGAAGCTGGTAGAAAACCGTTTGATTGAATTTTGGCCGCTGACTTTGACTCTTGAGCTTGGGCAGCAGCCACCCTTGAAGGAGATGGCTTTTGTGCCTTTATCTCATCTCTTTCCTCGGTGATATCTGAATGGTTCCCAGGGTCGCATGAATCCTATATGACCAAAAACCCACCAGGTTAGTGGATAAAGTTTCCAAACAAGAGAAAGAAAAACGAAGAGACTTTTTATGTACTAAAACACATACCATCATTAACAAATGCAACCAGTAAAGTGAATGACTGCTTAGAAACAAATGTTACTTGTGCCAAACAAAATATCACAAGGAGAAAATCACCATCCTATATGTTCATTCAAAACTGATTAATTAGTTTTGAAGCCTAGTTCGGTATACTGATGCGTGTTTACGTTTATTTTTTATTTATAATCTTAAAGGCCCACAGAAAGTCTTCACTCAAATGAAAAATGCATCAAAGAAATGAGGCTAATGCTGCATCATCCATATTAATCCCCCATATACTGGGTAGAGCAAGCATTTGAAAGCCATGAAAGACGAATTAACATCTTAGGGAAGAGGTGGCTCCTATTTGTTTTTTGGAAAAAAGGTAATTATATTACCACAAGAAACAGACAAACTTACAACCTCAACAAAATAGGGTCCAAAAACAAAAGTACATATACAAACAAAAAGGACCAGCCCAGCAAACAAAACCTAAGCCCAACCCACAACGTGGGCGCAAAACAGAAACACCACAAGAACGCCGGAAGAACCAAGAATTCGGCAGCCGCCGCCTCTGCAACAGTATTTCGAGATTCACCCAATTCCATGCCTCCAACCGCACGCCAACCCGACGATCAGAGCATCCAACCCTGAGCACCACCTGGTACGCAGCCACCACAGTAGAAATCAGGCAACCAGAAGAGGAATTCCGGCTACCAGAAGAAAGAAGCCCGTGGAGATCCACAAGCAATACTGCCAACAGAGGCAGACATCGAGAAGGTGGTGGTGTTGGGAACACCCGAGCCTGTGCATGCACCGAAGCTCTACACACCATCTCAGAGAAGCGTGACTGCAGATTGGAGTGTGGATGACCGAGAAGGAGGGACGCCAGTAGGAGAAGACGAAAAGGGCAAAACGAAATAGAAAGCAGGGGGGAAACTCTGCCGAAGGAAGGAAGAGGGGACAAAAAAAGGAAGGACAGATGGGCTAACCAACCCCAGCCGAAGCTAGGGTCGGCGCTCCCTGATCTGCACTGAAAAAAGGCCCTCAGACAAACACTGAGAAAAACTCTCAAGCAGAGAGAAGGGCTCTCACAAAGGAGAGAAATAGAGGTGGCTCCTATAAGCCCAAATAATAAGACAATGCCATGCTAACATGAAACTAGCACGTACCTTCTTCCTCCAGCATTTTATTTTTTTTCAAAAGCAGTTGATAGTTTTGTTATGATATTTGGCTGGGAATTGAAAACTTTTGACAAAGAGTTTGGTGAGAGTAAATAATTTTTTTTTTGAAGGACAGGGATCGATACAAATTCATAGATAATATGGATTTTGATGACACTGTTGAAGATGAGAAAAATAACCCTAAAGTCCAAAAAACCTGATGAATTACTTAGAGAAAATTGATGTGACGTTGTCAAATATGTTGATAAATCGGGTTTGAAACTTTTAATTTGATGCTGCCAAGAGCTAATTTCTCTAGTAAATCAGATGAAAACTGATTTGAAGAAACTGTGGGTTGTGAGATTGATTAAGGAGAACGAAAGTAAATCTTCAAGAATAAATACAACTGTAGCTCCTACATATCTCTTCAAAATTGAGGAAGAGAAAAGAAAGGGGAATCTTTAATATGATAACTATTATTTTCTTCTCGTTTTTTGGGGAAAGACACAAGGAACCAAACCAAATTTACCAAACGTAAGAAATCTCAATTACAGCAGAATACACAAAGCCCAGAGGCCGAAAGGAACATTCAAGGTATGAGGTTGTAACTGGGAATTGAACTAATGGCAACATCATTGGTGGTGACTATTGTTAATGGCAGTGCTGACCGGTGATGGATGCAATTAGCAACAGTGAAGTGACGACTGTGCGAGGGAATATGTTAGTAGTGAGCCTAGTGACTAGTTTTATGACAAAGGGATGATGACCCCATGATAATTTTGACCATGGTGACACTTGAATAAGTTGAGTTGTCAGCTTCAAGTAAATAAGTTCTTTGGAACTAAATGTTTGAACTTTTACGTGGTTTTTCACTAATCAAAGTAAGCCATGGCCTATGGACTACGAAACATACTTTTAGAAATTAACTAACACAAATACTCCAAAACTAAGCTATACGCTATCAGACGTAATTCAAGAAACTAACTGATTGAAAATTAAGATATTCTAGAAATACTCTAACTAAACTCGCTGAGTTATGTTGCAGAACTTAAAATCGGTCAAGCATACCTAAAACAACGGAAAAGGAAAATTATACAATCATGGCAACAATTACAGTTTTGTAGCACTGAAGCATTATTATAGAGCATGTAAATCCGAAGGGCATTTATTCCAAGGATTAAGACTTTATGCAGCACTATAGTGGTATGCTAATTCGAAGCAAAAGCATTAGTCTATGATATGAATAGATTCATATGAAACATACCAGTGTACTGGTGTTATTTTCTCTAAACTTCTCTTCCCATTCTCTTTGAGCCTTCTCCATCTCTTCATTTTGACAAATAAGTTGCGCCTGATGTTCTAGTGCTTTTTCCATATCTTTGTCTCTTCCATGCCCGCTGAAATCCAGGTCCCTATTTCTTTGATTTTCTATGGTCCCTGAGAGTGCATCATTCCCTTCTCGGAATTCAGAACTTTTTCTCACTTTCTCATGCCCACTGTATAGGCCATTTGAAAGCCCTTCTGAAGAAGCAGAAACACCATTTTCTTGAGAATCAAACTTGTCTGATCTGAAAAATACAATAAATCATTATATTTAAAACTATTGTATTATACAGAACTCCACAGTACATAAACCAAGAACTTTTCAGGAAACTCTGCTCTCTTTTTTCTTTTTCATTTTGTCTCTGGAGTTATATTGTTGGGAGAAGAACATAATTGACAGATTATGAACATTATGAGGTAAATAGCATGGATTATGTATCAGCGCATGTAGCATTTAACGCAATAGATATGAAAAACCAGTTTCAGTCCACAATTATCTTTGTCAGCTAGAAAACTTTGGGAGGAAGAATGGATATTCAAACACTCCTCTATATAGGGTTAGGATCCGGGGATACACGCTTTGTAGGGCCCACTTCAAAATGTATTTCAACGATCCGAACCATCTATATTTTAGTACATCATTCATAGATCATCCTTGCAAAGAAAATAGACAAATCAAAAACCCTCAAAACATTCACTTGTAGTGAAGAAAATGGACAAGAACGGTTCTACAAAGAAACAACTAAATTTAATCCAACGATCATAAGGTTTTATATTTGGGTGATTTTTGGTAGACATGATCCTTGGGGTAAGAAAAGATAGACGGTTGGGTATTTGAAATACATTACAAAGTGGGCCCCACAAAAACGTGTCACAAAATGTGTCCCTGGATCCTACATATATAAGCAAGGCCAGCAGTAACTAAGATAGACTCATGATAATTTTGACCATGGTGACAGTTGAATAAGTTGAGTTGTCAGCTTCTGAGCACAGAAGGAGACAAAGAATGAAGCGAGGCCGGAGAAGCAGTAGACATGCTTTTGCTTAGAACTGGAGCCATTGAACCCTAAACCAAACAGAAATAGTTGGGTTGGCTGGGGAGGCGATAATTCTGTTGTACCAAACGCCTCTTCTTTTCTCAAACTTCTTATCCACACTTTTCAGACCTTACAGAGATAGAAAAGAGAGACGAGGATGAAGAAGGTGCACATGTGAAAGTACAATTTTACCCTGCATTTAACGAACATTTAACTGAAAATCACTTTTGGACTAAATTTGCTAATGGACTACGCCACAGGGGTTTAAATCCAAATTTTTTACCACAAGGCTATCTTCCAAATACCTTATGACCACAAGGACCATTCATCCGATTAAGCCACACACACACACACACATGTTCTTTCTAATTCTTCCATAATAGCTTTCTTCAAATATGCATATACGTTTGAAGTTAATAACTTTCTTTACATCGATAATACTAAGTTTTCACACACACACACACACACGTTCTTTCTAATTCTTCCATAATAGCTTTCTTCAAATATGCATATACGTTTGAAGTTAATAACTTTCTTTACATCGATAATACTAAGTTTTCACACACACACACACACGTTCTTTCTAATTCTTCCATAATAGCTTTCTTCAAATATGCATATACGTTTGAAGTTAATAACTTTCTTTACATCGATAATACTAAGTTTTAAAGCAAACATAATAACAATAACAATAATGTTATTAACCAATACAACAATAACACTTAGATATTAGAAAATTGGGCTGCTGCAGTTAATAATTGATATCAGAAGTCTTAGGTCTTCGGTTAAAGACGTGTCTCTAGAGTTAGATTAGACTAGTATTTATAATGCATCTCAATGGATAAAATACTTTCAACTTCATTGAATCACCTTCAACTGGATTAGGAAAATTTATTAAAAAGGATGTATACGCTATATCAAATAGCGAAGCACCTAAACCAACACATACATATATCAAATTGGCAGGCCTATGAATGTATATACTTTAACACGCACAGAAAACGAGTAACGTAGTAAGCCAAACAAACCAACCTTGTTTCCTTGTGTTTTATCTGGCGGCAGGATTTTCCAAGGTGATGTCTTGGAGAACTAGAACCCATGGATGAAAAATTGCTACGTCTTCTTGTGGATAGATCTTTATACTTTTCCCGTGAACGTGGAGATTCAATGCGCCCTTTCCAAGACAAGCTTCTACCAGGTATTAGACAAGAATCAGCATCAGAACCCGAAAGTTCCTCCTGTTCATTTCTTCTCGCCTTCGAAATTACAAAGCTTTCTTCTTCATTTGTCAAGTTATTACCCACTTTGGATTCCTGGTGTGTTTCCTGATCAGAGCTGGAATCAAATTCCTCGGAAATGTCACTTCCCCCTTGGTTCTCCAAAATGGCAAGAACATCTGCTGTGGTTTTCTCAGCCATTTTTCTTTGAAGAGATACAATCTTAAGTTGTTCCTCCATTTCTTCTACCTAAATTGTTATAAAAAAATAAAAAAAAACAAATATTGGTAAAACTAATGAAAGTGAGTGAGAGTTCTTTGAACAACAGGTCTGACATTAAAAAATCCACACATTCCCATATCCTGAAATATACCATTTTTTCCAGCTCATCAACTCTCTGTCTTGCACTTCTTGCAACAGACCTCTCGGACAGCAACCGTGCCCGAAGAAACTCAATAGTCATTGCAGTGGAATCCTCCATGCCGGAATTATTCCTGATTTACATGGCAATGATTAGGGGTTGAAGCACTATTATGCCTCAAATAAAACAAAATATCACTCTTTCGAACAATCTATAAGAACGAAACACCAACCCTCTAAATGTTTTTGTGGGATATACTAATCTCTAAAGGAAAAAAAAAAAAGTGAATGCTGCTAGTCGTTCATAGTTGAACGGGATCATATATTTCATCTTTGAGAAGAATACAATAAGAAAAATACGCATCAGCGTCAAATAATATGGGTGGACATTAATTTGATCTTGCAAATATTGAATATCACATCCATCATGCCAAGCATCAATACTAAGCTCTGCTAATTAAATTCCTCGAAAATGGAATGGCATGCTAAAATTTCGTATTCTCCTACATTTTCTCATCAACGAGTGTGCAGACAACTGATGAATAATGAAATTCATAGTCATACAGAATTTAAACCTCAAAACCACAAAAACCTGTTAATCTTCGCATTTGTAATTTCTGATTCTCAGATTTTTTTCGGCTTAATTGAAATCGAAAAGGTAAAAAAAATGCGAAAAGAAACCAGCAGAGTGAAGGAGAAAGCATAACACAGCCCCCGTGTGACAGAACAGTACAAACATTGAGATCCTCACGAAAACGAAGCAAAAACAAAGAACTGAGAGATACCCAGATGATCCTTACCTCTGATCTTGCGAGTCCTGATTAGAATTATGCATCCTAGAGGAAGATCAAACGAAACCCCCAAACTTCAAAATGGAGCTGCTGCAACCATGACAGAGATCAAACATCAAAGAACTTGATTTGAAATTGAAGAGCATCCAGGTGAGAGATTGCGAAAAGTAAAGGGGAAAAGGGCAAAAGAGAGAGAACCAGGGTACAATTTGGCTTGCCTTAGAATGTAAGCTCCATGAATGATGAATCCACGGAGGGAATGAACAGAGGAAGCTTCTTTCTCACGACCATTTGAACAACGAGGGTGCAAAAGCAACAAGCCAATAATGCCTTTGTCCACTTGGGCCACTGTGTCATTTTCAATTAATTTTAAATAGGGTTTTATTACAAGACTCACATTAAAATGATCCCAGAAATTAAAATTCCATTGATGTAGTTATTAAATAAGAATACCGTCAATTAATGTAATTTTTCTGTTAAAATCTCAATGGTACTTCAATTAGTGTGTTCAATTCGCAAGTTTATAGACTCGTCGCAAATCTAATTAAACATTGCCACATGGATAAATTATTCAAAACTATATAAAAATAAGTAACTTAAAAATATTAAAACTGTCATTTAGTATTACGGATTAGTAGTATTTTTCTCGTCAAAATTGAATTTGAACTACATTATTACTAGTTCATTGTGAGGTTAAGTCTATCATCTCTCTCTTAATGTAGATAATATCGTTTGTTAAAAAAAATCATTAAAACTAGCCACTTATTACTACGTTCTAGTGATATTCATTTTCATTTATAAGTGATAACTTCTTTAGTAAGGGTTTCAACAAATTTTAACGAGGTAAAATAAAGAGATCGCCTGGGTTAGGAAGGAAGATAAAGAGTGCTTTTAGTAGGGGTAAAATTGAAATAATAATAGTAGATTTGATTCTTACCAAAAACGAATTTGAACCACATTATTATGGTAAGTCTAGTCTATAACTTAACTCATTTCTCCATCTTTTAGTGTAAATAATATCAATTGTTCAAAAAAAAAAATCATTAAAGCTAAATTTAATAAAACTTTATTGATGAATTACTTTCACTATGAGCAATACTCAATTAGTATAAAAAAGAGTCATGGGGAGGGACGTCATCGTTAACCAAAGACCCATCTCTGCAATTACCGAGTCGAGGACATCTTCCAAACTTATCGTAAAACTTCTAATTTTCATTCCTAGGTTGGCTTGCTGTCTTAAAATTAGGGAAAGGTACTGCGATGGGGACTGGCGGCTGTGGCCGGCTTAGTGTCGTTGCAGATGAGAATGAGTTGGCGGCTGGTTCGAAGGAATGTGGGTGTGGCTGGTTTGGAGTGGGTGCGTACGATCAGGGCGAGGAAAGGAGGGGTCGACGTATCGATGGTGAAGGAAAAGGAGTGCTACTTGATAAAACAATATTGAGGAGTACCACTTCCTTGTAAGTTAAAATTCTTAAGTTCAAATCTTGTGAACATTTGATTCGACGAGAGATCAGCAGAATTTTTTATATTCTTGAAACTTCTTATAATCTAAAAATTGGCCTGCATTGTAAGTTATCTTAATATTTAGGTTGTTCTAGCAAATCCCGAAGGATTCATCAACAATGAATAAGAGGGGCAATTAAGATTAGAATTAGATCCTCTACAAGTTAAGGTGCAAGTATTAGTTAGTAAGGAGGACGTGAAAAGTGTGTGCATTTCAGATGCTTTGCCTTTTTATTTGTTCCACCAATGCTTTTGGCTGTACTGTACATTGTGGTTGTAGTTTGTCATTTTGTTAATTTGTTGCTTTTATCTTACCAGACCAACACAAAGAAAGAATTGTAGACTTCATTTTTATTTGCATGTCATGATATCGGCCTTTGTGGAAGAGTTTATCCGAACTACGACGCCGACTCAATCTGGAATTTACGTATGCACTGACACCAACCATGCACATGAAGCTTCCACGTTTCTCTTCTCAAGCTTTTTTCGTGACTCATCTATATATATCTTGGCATTTACTCATCAGTCATCACCGTCGCTTCAGTCTCAAAAACCAACCCCTGAGAAATTAAGAATTTAGGAGTCAGAAAATGGATTCTATTCAGCAAAGGAAAACTAGTATTCTTATGCTTCCATGGCTTGCTCATGGCCACATATCTCCATTCCTAGAGCTATCCAAGAAGCTGACCTCTAGGGGGAATTTTCACATCTTCTTTTGCTCCACACTTGTAAATCTCAACTCCGTCAAACCAAAACTCCCTCAAAAATGAGCTTGTGGAACTCCATCTTCCATACGATGAGTTGCCTGAACTACCACCTCACTACCACACTACCAATGGCCTCCCACCCCATCTCATGCCCACTCTCAAAAAGGCCTTTGACATGGCCAGCGAGAACTTCTCCAACATCCTCAAAACCCTAAAACCAGATTTGCTCATATATGATTTTCTTCAACCATGGGCACCCTCTAGAGCATTGTCGAAAAATATTCCAGCAGTCCAGTTCTTCCCTAGCTGTGCTGCCATGGCTTCATTTGGTAATCATCGCCATTGTAAAAGCCCTAGTGCCAGATTTCCTTTTCCTTCAATCTATCTTCGGGACTATGAGTTAATGAAGTTCAACAATTTGGGAAAATCTCCATCAAATGGCCTCAACGATGGAGAGCGTGTACAGAAATGCATTGAACAATCTTGTAAGATCATTTTGATAAAGACTTCTAGAGAGATCGAAGCAAAATATATCGATTATCTCTGTGGTTTATTGGGGAAGGTGATTGTGCCTGTTGGTTCACTGGTTCAAGAACCTTTAGATGGAGAAGGAGAGGAAACAGAAATCATAAAATGGCTAAACACTAGAGAAAGATCTTCGGTCGTGTTTGTTTCCTTTGGGACTGAGTACTTTTTGTCCAAGGAGGAAATACAAGAGATAGCTCTTGGGTTAGAGCTCAGCAACGTTTGTTTTATTTGGGTTATTAGGTTTCCTGTGGGCGAGACCAACTAAAATTGAAGAGGTATTGCCAGAAGGGTTTATGGAGAGAGTGGGAGAGAGGGGATCGGTTGTGGAGGGTTGGGCTCCACAAGCAAAGATATTGCAGCATTCTAGTATTGGCGGGTTTGTGAGTCACTGTGGATGGAGCTCTGTTGTGGAGAGTATCAAGTTTTGTGTTCCAATTATAGCCATCCCTATGCATCTGGACCAGCCTCTGAACGCTAGATTGGTAGAGGAAGTCGGTGTCGGTCTGGAGGTTCGGAGAACTGGAAGTGGCAGCCTTGAACGAGAAGAGGTAGCAAAAGTGATCACAGATGTTTTGGTGGAGAAAATAGGACAGACTTTGAAAGGAAAGGTAATGGAATTGAGTGAAAACATGAAGAACAAAGAGGATGAAGAGATAGATGGGGTGGTGGAGGAGTTGAGGCAACTCTGTAGGACAGGGGAATCAAGTAGCACATAGGATAGGACTTCGCTTTTCCACTTTTAAACGGTGTTAATCTCTCTTTGTATGAAATAACTATTTGATCGTTATCCGTGAATAATGTGTAATCGGGTGTAAGATTGAATAATATCGAATAAAAATGATTCAACTGGTTGTGTAAGCAAATTAAGTTCTTTTTGAACTGTTTCTGTGTCATAATGATGATCTACTTCAGCATGACGGGTTTGATGAAGTAACACGCGATTACAATCAACGAGATAGAACCATATTATAGCTTAGTACTTACTGTGCGAAATATTCTTTACACTTCGACTTTTACTTTTTTAATTTTTTTCAACCTCAAAAGTTAAGTCCACTTGTTTTGCACTATGCGACTACTATTTATGACAATCTCTATTGAAGATGTGTTTTTTATTAGGACGATCTTTTCATTTTTAATTTTTTCTTTCATATTGAAATATGAATGGGAGGTGTTAAGTTTTTTATCATCCTGATGTCGAGATATTTTTCTGTAGGACCTCCCCTTCAGTATTGCCACCATAGTAGAGTTTGATCAACAAGTTCGGGATGGATTGATGTGGCTCCTCTATGCCTAGGACACCAGAATATCGAACCATGAAAGAAAAAAGGCATGAGAGAAAGCATGTTGGCTAGTGATTGTGAGGCCCAAATTCTTGACTAGAGGGGATACCAAAGGCTTCTGCCCTTCCATCCCTTGGATAGATAGGGGGAGGGCAGAACTTTTGGTTTGTCATGTTGTCAAAGAGTTAAACAGTAGGAGTATCAAAAATGTCGTAAGTCGAGGGCGGCCATAACATAAGGTTATTACTTTCGCATCTCTCTAGATATTTTTAGATAGAGAGAGAGAGAGAGAGATTCGCTGCGCGAGCAACCCAACTGTGCGTTACATATGCTCTACAAGCCACACTTCCATTTTCTTCCCAACGAGCCCATTTTTCCTTTGATTTGGAAGACGGGTGTTGCGTTCGATTCTAAAGGCATGATTTTCAGTACGTCTCCAGATAGGGCCCCACTAGTCCGGCTAGCTAGTGAGCAGTTCTTTCGAGCGAGAAGCGGGCCCAAAATGGGAATGGGCTAGGGTTATGAACTTATAATCTATAATTTGATGATCGAGTCCATTCCAAGATTATAAGTTCATTTCATACCAGATCAGATCGGGATAGGGTTATATACATTTTAATTATGAGAAGGGGTCATTCGAGCGTATCTAAATAGGTAATATGTTTACATATGGATCCCTACATTGTTACATTCCATTTAGGATTAGGAATAGGAGTAATCAGACCTGTTTTTAACATCTCTCTCGTTGTTTGGGATGGGACCATATTTGTGTCACCTCTTTGGGCTTCTATTTAAACGAGAAATCGGTTTGATTGTCCATCTTTTTATATAATAATATATATTGAGAGTTGCTAGATCCACCCAATTGTCTTATTTCCTCACCCACGTTATAATTACACCCACTATAAAAAGTTTAAAAAACTAAAATGTTATTTCCCTACCCATTATTATTCCTAAAATAACCATTAATATATATATATATATATATATATATATTGTAGGCATAATTAACTAAATAATTATGGAGGCTAGAAAGAGAGAGAGGGTGCGACATAGAGTGAGATATGTAATTGTGAGGTGTGTTCTATTCCAAGATCCTAACTATTGAACTTCAGATCAAGGCATAAATGAGTTTTCCCAAAATCCTTCATCTCAAAATTCCATCTTCAGGTGCGAGGCAGTTTTCTCAAGCTCTTCTAAAGTCTTAGTGAGATTCGTGTCAATGACATAAACTGTAACTCTAGCAATTCGGAATAAGACTTCATAGTTTAACATGCAAGGGCATAATTCATCCTTGACTGATCAAATAATCACTTAGACGGGTATACCACATCCGTCATATTTTTCCAATCCATAAGTGAACACCTCAAAACGAGTTAAGAGCGTGTTCCATGATTTGGAACTATTTGAACCAATCCATGTAATTCTTCGGGAACTTACGTATAAATCTTCGTATCTATATCCCCATGGAGAAAACACTAACCACATTTCATAATGCTATTATCAATCACATGACGTTTGAGAAAAACCTTGTGCTGTAAGGCATGCTTCATATCTCATTATTTCATTCATCTTATAACGCTTCCTTTCCCACTTGTAACACAACGGGGTACGACAAGTTCAAAACACACTTTGGTAAAGAATTTGACCTGGATTGTAATTTCAATTGTCTAATCAGTTCTAAGTTGTCATTAAATCAACGGAACACGGTTCAATATCATCGTTTTTCATTTATGTCGGTAGCTACCATATAAGTGAAAACATCATCGATGGTAATCTCATTTCAATTCCATTTAGCTCATCCAAACTAGTATATTGGACCAAGAACTTCAAGTCTCGAGAGTAATTTGGATTAATCTCATGAGATAGAAATGATTTGAGACAACGATCAAGTATGGATTCATTGTTGTGTCGTGTCTTCCTTTTCTAGGGAAGTGAATCCTACGAACCAAATGATATATCGTGCTCCAGGCTAAGATATATTGATTGGCTATCCATTGATGTACTGGACCGTCCAACAAGGACGGCACACCCTCCAAGGATGTTGACTCGACGTTCGTTAAGTATGTCTATCCTTGCATGCATGTTTATAGCTAGTACATGATCTCGTCACTTTAGCTAGATCAGAGGAATGCGTTTGGAGAAATATTCTGAAAGCTAGAATTTATCGCACTTGCTTGTCATACTTGTGCGGTACGAGGATTGAGATGAGACATAATGGGTAACGTCCACATAACTTTGCGACATTCTACAAGAACGTTGACGTTCTTATCTCCCCCTAACGGTGGGAAGACTGTCTCATTGAAGTGACAACCCACAAATGCGCGATAAAGAGATCGTTTGCAAGGGCTCTAAGAGAGCTAGTGTGAAGAAGAATCATAATCGACAAAGATTCACATCCTTCTTTAAGGACCCATATTAGTACGTTGCGGTAGCGCACCTTGGCATATGGAATGCACACCCAAATGTGTAAATACGAAAAATGTTAGGTTCATACCCAGTAACCAACAATAACGTTGGGATGGTTAGGTGGCAATGGGCCTTAAGGTGAACCAACATAACTGCGTACAAGATTGCATAGCTCTAGGCAAAAATCGAAAACTTGGTATGTACACCAAAATTCAGGCAATCATTTATATTGCGCTTTATGATCACTAGACAAGGCTATTTGGAGTGAACATGGGAATTCGATTATAAACCCAATATACATGCAATACTTTATAAACTTTCCAACATTATCTAGTCTCCCGAACTTTATGGGATAAGTAGGGGTGAACCTTTAATCGGCTAGGAGGTTTAGCAACAATGTGTGTGGATAAACATATGACCAGTTTGTCGATTCATCAACCAAAACTATAAGTATTTATATGGTCTGCATTTTGGTTAGATTAGTCCACACATATTCCCTTGAATCCACTGTGAAAAAAGAGTCGTTTCGTATATTTGCTAGGGATGATTTAGAAATCAAATTTCCCAAAACGAGCGGGTTTTGGCAAAGTGTTCTTGTAGGCATAAGATCCTTACTTCAGGTAAGGAGATATGTCGTAGCATCATTGTTCGACCTAAGTGTCCCAAAAAAGGTCGTGCCAAAGCAAGTAAAACTACTCAATCACCATGCTCCAGGCTGGCCACATGTGGCGTGTTCCTAGTTGGGAGACAACCCATTGCCCCAAATCAAAGCTGCATGCTCATTTTTGGAGGTGGTGCAAAGATATTCCATTCTATTTTCTTCGGTGGTTTCATTTATGATCATTGTTCTCTAGAATATCCTCAAAAACTCAACGACATGGAGAATTTAAGGTCCCTTAAATGGTAATTCAGTACCATTCATACAACGAGGAGCGTGCCAATGCTCTTAATCAGGTTGGATAACCTTGAAGTCGTTGTTAGAGATGTGCTTTAGGTGTAAAGTTAGCGTGCGTAGTATCGCATTCATCTACCAGACAACTAACTTTCCCACATTTCTACCTAATCATGTGTTTAATTGAATTGGGTCACATGTATTAAGAAACATGATTCAATTAACTCGTATTTGAGGACAATATCAATAAGATTATCCATAACTAAAACAAACACCAAACTTGAATCCAAGAACATAGAAAAATGTTCACAAAGTAAATGGTTTACCAAAGGGATTCGGCCAACAAGGCTATCCATGTCAAAATTCTGCTCTTTCAACGGGGTTCAGTAGAGCAAAATTAGTCTCACATATTGACTACAAGAATGGTACTCCTTAATGACATTGGTAGGCGTACGAACATGTGCATAACCAATAATCTATTCCATCGAGATGGAAGTAGATTTTGCAGGGTTAAGGTTTGGGAATGCTATCCCTTATTCTTGAAGTTTTAGGTCTTAGATGCCAAGGATCATGCTTTGTGCATGATGCCACACCTTGGCAAGCCCTGATTCTAGCATAGGTTGTAAAAATAAACTCGAAATTGGATCGTAAGAGAGATAGACCCAAACTTGGGTTTGGTAGGCCCCAGCCAAAGCTAGATGGGTCTGTTCAGTAGGCTTCTACCGAAGCAGAGCAGTACCGTTCGATGCATCTCTGTCGAATAGGTAGGTTTTGACCGAATTGGGTTAAGCTATTCGGTAAACTCTAATCGAACTGAGTTTATACCCTTTGGTAGATTCTAGCCGAAGTTGGATCTATACCGTTCGGTAGACTCCATCTGAACTAGATCTATACATTTCTCTCATGTTTGTGCTAGTAATCATATTCGAGAATTTGGTAAACTTCTGCTTTCTACACTACTGCTTCAGGAGTGAGTTAGAAACATGGAAGGACAAGAAAAATATTCTCTAGTCAAAATTCGATCGAATTTATAAACTTTAGAATCGTACTCATTCATGGACGTAATGACGGTGTGCTTCAGGCAATGTCTTGTACCCCACATAAAGTGGTTTCTATTAGAAACGTCCAAATAAGG